AGGTTTTCCAGGCGAATGGAAATGAAAAAAAATCTGGGGTAGCAATACTTATATCTGACAAATTAGATCTCAGAATGAAGGACATAACAAAAGCAAATATGGTCACACTTCTGATTTAGGTCAAATCTGACAAAAGATTTATGAAACTGTTACTAAAAACAGCCTGAAATATTAAAAATAGAAGAGTAACTTCTAGGATAACAAAAGAAAAACATGGACACTGACTGATTTGTGAGATGCTCAATTCCAATAAGTGATAGTCAAATTCCCATGTTATCTAAAAGATATATTTTTGTGCTTTACTGTTTAAAAAAGAAAATGTGAAAAAGAGATGAACTAAAACTTTTTAAGTATTTATCCTACATAACAAAAGGGTAATATGCAAATTGACCCTAACAGCAGAATAACCAGAACGACCATTGGACTAATCACTTAAAAAATATACATATTTTATTGATTTTTTACAGAGAGGAAGGAAGAGGGATAGAGAGCTAGAAACATTGATGAGAGAGAAACATCAATCAGTTGCCTCCTGGGGATGTGCCTACAACCAATGTACATGCTCTTGACTGGAATCGAACCTAGGGCCTTTTAGTCCGCAGACCGATGCTCTATCCACTGAGCCAAACCAGTTTCAGCTGAACCAGTCATTATAAGGCACACTGACCACCTCTTGGTTCCTTTCCCTGGCTGGCAGGCTCTGATTGCCTGATGACCATCATGGGAACAGTGAGCTCGTGGGAACAGCCAACTTCTTGGTCCCTTCCCCTAGCCATCAGGTACCAATCACCCAATGGTGAATGGGGAACTGAGGGTGGGTGGCAGTGGGAGGTACGGCTGGCTGCAACCAGCTGGGGAAGATGGCTCTAATCGCAGGCCAGGCCAAGGGACCGTACCCATACAGGAATTTTGTGCACCGGGCCTCTAGTAATATAATTCAGTGTATCCTAATACAAAGACAGATTTCCTATAAAATCATATCCACTGAGAAGCAGATTCTATACAAAACACTAAAACAACAGAGAAGCTTTTATATGATTTTGATAATAAAGCCTCTAACTGACCTCAAGCTTTGTAAAAAGGACATTAAAAAATAAAAAAATAAAAAAATAAAAAGCCCTGATCAGTTTGGCTCAGTGAATAGAGCATTGTACTGCATTGTACTGCGGACTGAGGGGTTCCAGGTTCAATTCTGGTCAAAGGCATGTATCTTGGTTTCGGGCACATCCCCGATGGGGCATGTGCAAGAGGCAGCTGATCAATGTTTCTTTCTCATCGATGTTTCTACTCTCTACCCTCTCCCTTCCTCTCTGTAAAAAATAAATTAAATATATATTTTTTTAAAAAACAAAGAATAAAAAGAGTATGATATCTACATAAGGGAATATGACTTATTATAATAAACAAAACACCTCAATATAAAAATAATTAATGGAGTTAATGATACTATATTTGCAGTAATGAATCCAATTAAAATAATCATTTAAGAAGACAATTAAAGTACATTGAAATAGAATTGGTAGAAATGCAATATGACTCCTAATTCTATCAAATTTGCCTCTGAAAGAAAAATATATGACAGTATATCCCACTTCTGGGTACTTATTCAAAGAAATCCAAAACACTATTAAAAAAAGCATATGCATCCCGATGTTCATTGCAGCATTATTTACAATGCAAAATGTGGAAGCAACCTACATTGTTAGATGATTAGATTAAAAAAGATATGATACATAAATACTATGAAATCTTGGCCATAAATTAGAAATAAATCTTACCATTTGCAATAACATGGATGGACCTAGAAGGTACTATGCTAAGTGAAATAAGTTAGACAGAGAATGGACAAATACCATATGATTTCACTTATATAGTGGAATCTAAAGAACAGAATAAACTAACAAACAAAACATAAAATACTCAAAGACACAGAAATCATTTTGATCGGTCAGGTGGGAGGGAGGTTTGGGAACTGGGTTTAAAGGTGAAGGTGTTAGGAAATACAGATTGGTAGTTACAGAATGGGAGATGTAAAGTATAGCATAGGAAATACAGTCAGTAATGTTATAATCATCACTAGTGGCCCAGTGCACGAAATTCATCCACTGGCCTGTGCCCTGTCAGTGTGGGAGCCCCATGATCCATCACCCAAAAGAGGTAGGTTCCGTGCACCCATCCAGGCTCCTCAATGGATTGCCCCAAAGAGGTAGGCCGGAGCCAGGAGAGACCTGCAGATCCTAGGCCAGGCCACAGTGGAGGCCTGCAGACCCCCAGGGGCGGGCCCGCAGTGGAGGCCTTCCTCTACGTGCACTTGCCTAACCCCTGCCATGGCCCTGCCCCCTTCCCCTTCAAGGCCCCGCCCACGCATGCCTGCTGTGAATGCTACCTGCTGTGAATGCTACCTGCTGATCGGTGGTGGTGACATTATGGCATCCTAGACAATTTGCATATTCCTCTATTATTATACTAAAGGCCTGGTGCACAAAAATTTGTGCATTGGGGAGAGGGGTGTCCCTCAGCCCAGCCTGCCTCTCTCACAGTCCAGGAGCCCTCAGGGGATGTCCTACTGACGGCTCCTCTATGGGAGGCAACTGGGCTGATCAGGGGAAGGTGCTGCCTCCATCACACCACTGCTGCTGCCACTGCCAGCCACCACAGCAGCCAAAGTGTTTTCATCAACAGAGTCTAGTCCCTTCACCACAAAAAAAAATGACAAACTAGGTTTAGGCATTTTCAAGATGTCTCTTTCATAGGCTATGACATTTGTTCCTTCCTTCCTTCTTCCCTTCCTTCCTTCCTTCTTTTCCTTCCTTTCCTTCCTTCCTTTCTTTCTTCCTCACCAGAGGATATTTTTCCATTGATTTTTAGAGAATATGGAAGAGAGAGGGAAACACAGAAACATCAATGTGAGAGGGATACTTCTATTGATTGCCTCCTGCATGAACCCTGACCTGGACCCTGGCCAGGGAGGAGCCTGCAACCTAGGTACATGTCCTTGACAAGAACTGAACCTGGACCCGGTGGTTGGCAGGCTGAGGCTCTATACACTGAGCCAAACCCACCAGGGCAGGATATGACATTTTTTAGCTCCTCCAGCAGCAGACCTTCATTTTTTCCTCCAGTAGTGTGGTGGAAAAACCCTAGATTACCTTCTTGGATTTTTACTACCCAAGTTACCAAGAACATAGTGAGTAGTGTACTGGGAGCTTAGCCAATGAGCGGTCAGAAAAGGTGTTTCCTCTGCAGCTCACATGCACAGGTGGGACTGCCAGCACACTGCAGCTGACAGGACTTATTCTCTCTGGGCCTCCCCGCACAATGGCAGCTGGCACACCTGTGCTGTCCATGGCTTGCCTCACCATGCACACAGTCTCCTCCTGCCCACCTGCACGAGCATCCTCCTCCTGAGCGGTTGTGACATTACAGTGTCCCAGACAATTTGCATATTACATCTTTATATATATATATATATATATATATATATATATATATATATATATATATATATATATATATGATGGATGGTGCCAGGTGGGTACTAGATTAATGGATGTGATCACTTTGTAATGAATATAAATGTTTTATTACTATGCTGTACATCTGAAACTAATATAATATTGTATGTCAAGTGTAATTAAAATTTTTCTAATTGACAATATATCACTTCATTCAGGAAAATACAGGTAAAATTGGAAAATTGTTTTTAGTAGTGAACCGACACATTAAAGCACAATTCAACCAACCTAGTTGAACTTTCTCCAACATCTTGTTTGTGTGGTTTTCTTTGGGGGAGTGGTGTTTTTCTTAGGTCATACAAAACAAACAAACAAACAAACAAACAAAAAACACCAAAATTTCCTGTAACAGTCACTTCTACAATTACATTATTATTAAACAGCTAGTCATAGGACTTTATGTGATGAAGCCAACCAATATGGAAGTGAATCTCATCACTGCCGCCAATCTAACAGGAACCTAGCCCAAAAGTAAGGAGGGTCAAATCATCTGAGAGAAGGAAGGTGATCAATTGCCTAAAAGCAATTTTACTCCTGGTCTAAAGCTACTCACAACTCTCGCCCTTCTATTGTTCTATCAAGAAAGCTGGAGAACAGAGAACTAACTGTCTTGCTTTTCTCAGTGCATCTCTGACTTTTGCCGCTACCCCTGCATGTCTCAGAGAGGAAAGACAGACCAAAATTAAAAAGATAATTGGACAAGTAAAATACTCAATGAAAACCATTATTATATCACTGGTAAATTAGGGCACTTTCTTCAAATTAAGCTTTGTTAATTATGCACTTAAAAACAAATGACATTTATGCAGACTTCTCAACAACTAAGAAAGATTAAAAACAAAAACCAAAGACAAGATTTATACTTACTACCTACATATTGTTTTGTTTTCTTAAAGGGGAGGTTATACTTTAGCCAGAAATTTTTGAAAGAAATACTATTTAAGAAGAAAAATATAGTATTTTCTTGTTCTATAGAAATCAATTCCCTAAGTTTCAGTATTTTTAATATATAAATAATGCTCGGATATTAAACAAGGAAAAATTAGGCAGTGACTTTAAACTCAATAAAGGAAAAACTGACTAAAAAGCTTATCCGAGATAAACACATAGAGCTTGTATCTGGATACAACACTGAATAATTATGGTTTTAAAAAAATATTAATGTTTCAAAATTCCACAATTCTTCAGTTATTCTTTTTTATATATAGAATACTTTTCATATAATTTTGAAACAAAATGTGAATGATCTTAATCTAGAACTATTATTTGAATAGTAAAAAATTATGTTCATATGCACCATAGACCTAGTATTTTAAAAAGGAAGACTTATAACTGTCAAAATATAATTTCTAATGATTAATGTCCTTTGGGATTTTGCTACAAAACAGAAGATAGAAAGTTTTGAGGTACTGCTGCCTTAGAATCTTTCCAAGGTTTGGATAAAAAAAAAAAAAAAAAAAAAAAAAAAAAAAAAAAAAAAAAATGGAGGTTTTAAAAATTCAGTTTATTGTTGTTTAAAAAAAAAAAAAATCAGTGTTTTTTTCTCTCCAGTTGTGAAGCTCATTAAATCTCCTCTCAGTCCCCATTGTATTGGCATTCCTGAGCTTGTCTCATCTGCATGTCACATGCAGCCATCTGCTGTTTCAGCCATTCTGTTTGGTGCTATGTCTTGTTATACCAATTCATGGAGCGTTTCACTGCCTTCACCCAGTTTTCCATACTCATTTCATATTCCTGCCATTTCTTCTGCGGCTTGAAAACTGTTTCACTTTGTCTCAGTTTCTTTAGTTCCTCCTTGTCAGTCCAAAACCCTATAAATAAAAAAAATTATTCTCACATTTTAAAGCAAATAATGAGTCCATAAAGTTTATACACAAACTTATATGAATTGGTGCAAAGGTAAACAATTATTATTTTAAAACATAATCCAAAGTATTTTGTTGCTTTTGAATTTTGTTGGATTGACTGTCCCAGGGAATGAATACAGCAGGATTTAAAAGTCTTTTGACTTTATGTGCACATGGCAGAGCACTAAAGTTGCTTCTAGAACAACCATTCCTTGTCATCATCATTTAGTTTCATGATTTGTTTAGAAAAAAAATAAGAAATAGCATATTTTCTTCTTATAGATTAAAAAAAAAGATAAATTAAGAATGTATCTTGAGGGGAGAAATAACTCCTTAGAACAGAGGTGGGGATCCTTTTTTCTGCCAAGGGCATTCAGGTATTTATAACATCACTCGCTTAATATAATTCACTTAATATAAACTTATGTTGCTATAAAAAAAAACTCCCAGATTTGTTGAATTTTTAATCACACTTGCAGGTGCTTAGCAAGGCCAGATCAAAGATTTCCAGGGCCTTATATGTTCCGAACCCTGTCCTAGATATATGCACAAAATTTAAAAATGGGATTTACTAGAATAAATACTTCCTTTTCAAACTATTGCATTTCATACAAGTTACTTAAATTCCTATTTAAGACAATGTTGGAGTTCTGGCACACATTGTTTTTTAAATAAGCAGCAACTATGAGCATAAGTGGTCTGAAATGGCAGAGGTCTTGGTAGTAAACTTGGCACACATCACTTACTCTGAAATATTTAATTGACAAGTCTTGTGAAGTACATTTTCTCCTACCAATAAAACTGACACAAAATTCTTCCTTCTAAAACTTTCTGTTAAGTCACAAACTTTCTATTTACAAAGTTAACATTTTAGACTCTCTATATTTAAAGGTATTAATTGATAGAAGTTTCTAAAAGACTAAACAGTTTTAATTAGTATAATACAGTTAGATGAATCTAGTCATAAAAATAAATATGTTCTTAAAATTCATTTTCCAGAATTTATTATTTAGACCAAGGCATACATATTTCTAAAATTATTTTATTAACTATGCATGGAATAGATCCATGACTCTGAGTGAGTTTTGAAAACAGAGAGGATGTGCATAGCCTTCAGTCTCAAATGTCCGAAAGAGAAACCTTTGGACCAGAAATCTCAGCTATTCTCAGAAAGTGAAACTATTTCTCTACAGAGTGCAGTACCCTGCACTGAAAAGGTTTGAAATTAAAAACAGATATAATGAAGCAGATGAAACTCAAGCCACTGTGTTATGTGTATGAATAATCTGCACATTTGTTATTTAAAGTATTTTAAATGTTCAAGGTAAGCTGACATACTTTTTCTTATATTAGAATTTTATGAGAATTTACTTATTCAATTTGCAAGAGTTAAGTACTTTAGATTTTTCTTATTATAGGTCTAAGTTTGCTCAGTTATGTGAAACTAGAGGCCTGGTGCACAAAATTTGTGTACAGGTAGGGTCCCTAGGCCTGGCAGTGATCAGGGCCACTTGGTGCTTTCTGTCATAGCAAAGGATCGAATTCCCGGTCTCCTGGTCAAACACCCGAGGGGGCACTTCGCACAGTAGCCATATATATATATATATATATATATATATATATATATATATATATATATATATATATACACACACACACACACACACACACACACACACACACACACACATATATATACATATATATATATACACACCGTATTTTTCGGACCAAAGGCGCACTTTTTTTCCCCCAGAAGTGGGGGGAAAAAGTCCCTGTGTCTTATGGTCCAAATATAGCCTACACATATACTTTAAAAAAAAAGTTTTTTTACTTGCCCGGCTCTGTGTGGTCTCTGTGTGCTTGCCCGGCTCTAAAATGGTTCTAAATGCTGCTGTTTACTTTACAGGGTTGATTACATGTGTTTATGATTGTGATGTTGGGTTTTAATGCACATAAAATATTTTAGGACACTATTTGTTTCAGAATCTTTTTTTCTTCATTTCCCTTCTCTAAAAACTGGTGCGTCTTATGGTCCGGAGCTTCTTATGGTCCGGAGCGTCTTATGGTCCAAAAAATACGGTATATAGCCCTGCACACAAATCGGTGCACCAGTAGCTTTCTGCAGGGCATGACCACTCTGTGCTCACTGCCCAGAGGCTCTCTGCAACCCAGAAGTGCATCCATGGCCAGGCGGAATGCTTGCCTTGTTGCTGGGGCGACAAAGCAAAGCATTCCGCCAGGCTGTTCATGCTGCCCACTCTCAGCAGCCACCTCCCGGACTGAGAAACTCTGGCAGGGCTGAGAGGACTGGGCACTGCCATCTTTGTGATAGAGTGATGGTTGATTTGCATATTACCCTTTTATTAGATAGGAGGACTAGAGGCCTGGTACATAAATTCATGCATGGCTGGGTCCAATAAGGCTGGGCCGGCTGGGAGGAGGGGATGCAGGAAGTTGGCTGGCTGGCAATGATCTCGATTGGAGTGGAAAGGGCTCATTGGAGCAGAATTGGCTGGGGAAGGAACTTCTGGCCTTGCCCCCTGGTCAAAGTCCTGGTAAAGGGGACAACTTGCATTTTCGCCTTTTGATACAGAGAATTATTTTAAAAAATAAACTATTGATATATTAAATTTTTAAGGGTTAACATATACAAAAAACTTTAAATTGTAAATGGGAATGACTAAGGGGAAAGTTTTTTTCTTAAATTTGAATTAATCAAATATTAGTCAATGAACAAATGAAAGTGTGATAATTTTATTCAAAGTTAACAGATTTTTAGTAGAATAAAGTTGAAGTTGAATTTACCAAGATTTCAGGCTTTTTGAATTTGTAATTTTACTATGTTAAGTCTTAGCCTAAATTTTAACTGAAATATTCTGCTCTGCACAAATATTCCTCCCTTCCATACAGGAACACATTAAAACACTCCCAGTGTACCAAGGGAGTATTTCATAAAGAGCTCCTAATGCTCTCTGCACTTCCATTCTTTACCCTTCAAATTAGTCCTTCCACTAACTTTCTAATATATTTTTATTGATTTTGTACAGAGAGGAAGAGAGAGGGATAGAGAGCTAGAAACATCGATGAGAGAGTGTCATCGATCAGCTGCCTCTTGCACACCCCCTAAGCCCAGTCCCCTATCCTCCCCTTAAAAAGTGCTTGTACCCCAACCCTCGCTCTATAACATTCTCTCTCTCTGGAAGCAGCCAGCAGTGGTACTCTTCTCTTCAATAAAACCTGTGTCCTGGCATCCCAATCTCCAGCCCCTCTCTATTTCATCTTTTACAGGTAAGTTCCATATCCTGTCAGGGAATAGGAAGTTGGGGCTGCCTCGCCTGAGCTCTCATAGGGCCTGAGCATTATCTGGCATGCCTTATGTCCTCGGGGGACAGGATTTTGGTCCTTTTATGAGCAGGATGGATCAGTAATGGATGGGGAAGTAACACTGGGCACCCCACCACCTGCAAGATGGTGTTCATGCACACATGAAGCAATGTGGAGTCATGCAGGGCCTTCCCACTTTAGTATGGTAGTAGAAACTGCTATTTAGGTTCTGTACTTATTTGTTTACAAAAACAATAGAAAGTTACTTTGATTTTATGAATTTATGTATGTTATCCCAATACCCCATTGATGATGGTTTGAATATCCCATTGATTGTGATCTCACTGGTCATCGAAGCACATTCTTCTGGGACCCAGGACAGATTAATTATCCTAAATTGTTTTAGTAGCTACAGATAGTGCATTCCTGTTGACTCAGTGATCCCAGAATCTGGATAGCACAATTATTCTAAATTGCCCATATAATGATAATGATTCAGTGATTCATAGATAACTAAGTTGCTCAGATCCTCCTTCTGTGAAAATGCTTTTTGAGAAACTGGTTCCGCATTCCAGACCCAAAGATGTAATCAATACTTTTGTGATTTTCTGCCAACATAAACCAGGCCTGGCAAGCTGTTCGAGGCTGTGAGATTTGAAGCTTTAGTCCCTCTTATGCCACAGGCCATTAATAAATGACTCCATAATTCAAGTTTTTTTGAGGTGTCCTTTGTAAGATGTTACAATTTCAGCTTTGATTGCTAGATCACTCGCTTTGTCTTTATTGATAAAAGACTGTAAAGTGAATTTGGACCTATTTATATAATGTCTTGTGCTTTGTTGAAAGTGTCTTGAAACTAAGTGTATTTAAAATATGTTCATAAGGGTCAATCTAAGGAATACTAGCTGTTTGCTTGTTTTGGTTATTGAAAAATGAGGCTTCTAAGAGTTATTAATTGAAAATTGTATGGTTTTGGAAATAGAAGGCATGAGGAATAGAGATGCATTTTGAAACTAGTTATTCCTGAAGTTGTATGAAAGTTTGTGAAAGTTATAGAAAGTCTGGAAGGAAAGTATTAAAAGGAAGTTATATAAATAACAGGGGCCAACACATCAGGTCAAGCAGAATGGGAAAACTAAAACTGGAAGTTAAAACAAAGGCCAAACAATGTGGGCAATTATAGCCATCTTATAACTATCAAGCCATTATCTTCCCCAGCCTAGGACACAAGAGCAGATAGTTAAAAAATCTCCCTAACAAAAGAATGCAGAAAGGGAGTGGGGAAAGGAAAGAAAGAAAAAAAAGGTGGTGGTTTCACTCCCTAAGCAAAGAAGCTAGCAATCTCAAGGCTTAGCAAAATGAAGTTGCCAGTTACTTCTCATGATTTCTGGGAAGGCCACATACTTTGTTAAATAATCTATAACAGGGACCTTAAATAATCTATAACAGAATATTCAGAAAAGTAAATTTAAGATATATGGACAGGAAGCTTTATGATGCCTCAGACCCCACCCAGCATCCTCTTCGGATTGGCTGGGCCCATCTATACTTCATAACCCAGATGTATATGTTTACTTGCTTTGCTTTTTCAGTAGAGGTGCAATGCTTTAATTGCTTGTATAAACTGACTTTTCACA